TTCATGAGAGGAGGTCTCCCAAATGTGGCGCAAACAATACAACGGCACAATGCTTAGTACACGGTGCACCGGGGAAGGAAGGAAACAAAGACAAGCTAAGCTTGCTGTGGTAGTCGCCGGCAGGGGTGGCATGGATACCACTGCATGTCAAGAGTGTTTTTGACGAGCTCGCAAATCGGAAGACAGAGCAACACTGTGAAGGCGTTTGAAATTGGCGAGATTGAGAAGGAGGTTTCGCGGCCGCTGGGGAGGAGGCCCACTGCAATCACGCGGGAGAAACGGGGGAAAACGGCCTAGCGGTAATTTTTTGCGACGATATCACGATCATCAAACATGACACACGGCTTTAAAATTGAGTGAGGAGAAAATTGTGGTGCAATTTACGAGTCGAGAGAAGAAAGGATTGCGCTTGTGAACAGTTTGAATGCGAGTAAGTCGGCCTTACATCCCTAACGCGGGTTTGTCGCCCCGTTGGACGACAGGCAGTGTTTGATGATGATGTCTCCCGAGACTTCCCAACACAATAGGCAGCCCGCTGTCAAACATCCATTCTCATTTCTTTCATCAAACAAATGAGAGGGTGGATTGCAATGCGCAAGGGCCACACAGGGCCTGCTAGGGGTCCCGCTCTTCTACCTTATCTGCCCTAAGACATCTTGAGATCGATACCTTTGCATGATCTCCGTCTAGGGTCGCGCTGTTGTCCCACTCTACTGTAATTGCGCTTGCAGGGCACAAAGTGCTAGAATAATGCTTCATAACACTGATGCATCGGTTGATTGTGTCACAGACTTCCGTTAGAGACCCGCGCTTCGGAGCATTTCTCCGGAATATGGGGCCGGTGCCGGTTCGGGATGGTCAGTCTCGTCGCCGACGAGTCTGGGGTAGGTTGGCACGGAAGGGATAGGATGCCTCTGAAATGGAAAGAACCACGGCGTTTACTTACAGTGAAAATTTGCTCCATAAGGCAGGGACGGCATCTGCAGCAAGTACTGTGAGAATGCCAGGAAAGAGCTGAGCGTCTTCTCTGTCTTCTGTGAATCAAGGCTACTTTCAGAAGGCAATGGAGTGCTGCATCGTGCCATATATGAACGAAGTCGTCTTCATCTCCGCCGCATGTTGTGTCCATTGTCACCCATATCATCCATCTATTATGAGCCATCATCATCCTCCACCATCGATTATGATACAAAATACCCCCGAATCCTCCCCGCGAAAGCATTCATCGTGAGCCGCGACAAAGGGAAAGCAGTATTGCGTGATGATGACCTGCTCGGTAATCGAAGCTTTGAATACGAAGGCTCCGAGAAAAACGACACACCTCAAAGTTCCGGCTCGACGACCGTCGTGCCAGACGTTACACCCACGTCCCCGACAGGCGAATCTCAGCAACTCGTCACCTCAGCATCATCCAGATCTAGCGGCAGTTGAAGTTCAACTCAGCTCCTAATACTTGGTGAAAACTTTGGCTTGTGGACGACCTGATCCGACCTGCCATAGCTTGAGGCTCAACACAGTTCTCGAGAAATAGTTACCGAGTTAATTTCTGAGAATAGGGACGAAGGGATGACAGTAAGAACGGGTAACCTATCGTGGGCATTAGAGACGGTGAAGTGCCTCCCCCGAAAGCTATGATCATGCCGGAACGAAGACGTAAAGTAGGGGCAAATTCTATGGTTCTTTACACTATCGATCTTGTCACTACGCATGGATGTAGGCGCTAGACAGTGTTTCACCGTTTTCACCATTCTGTGTATCTCCTATATTCGGACGCATGTTTCTGGGGTCCAGCCGAGAATGGTTGTTTGCTCTTGTGTCATCTGTAACTCGTTGGCTTGATGCTACCGCTTTATCGAGAGCTGTTCAGGCATACCAAACAATTCAGACATCACCTGGGTGGTGTGCTGATACGTACGAGCTGCTGACACTGGCGGGGACTACCCTGCAATGAAGAGCAGTCTCGGCCTCATTTCCGTTCCCAAGAGTTCTTGCAACTTTTGGACTGCCTCTGCCTTCATGTGTTCACGCAGCCTTGCCTTGACAGTCTCCCGCTGCTCTAAAAGTTGCCGTGTGGATTCGTCATCGACAGGACCAGTGGCCGGGGCCGCGGGAGAGCCTGGTTTCGGAGGAGAGCTTGCAGGTACCGCAGGGATATTCGACTTGGAACTTTGAGCATTGCCTCGCAACGTGGTACTGTTGTCTCTTCGAAGTCACTTTTGCCAGTTGCTTCGATTCCTTCTCATCGACCTTGTCAACATGGACGTTCTCCGTGGTGGCAGTACCCGCGGCCTCGTCGTCCTCGCCATCCTTGCTTCCCTCTGGCTACAGGGCAGATGTCTCTTGTTCGTCAAGCAACTGCGTGAGAGAGACTCAAATCTGCGGTCCGTTTGTTCTTAGACTTTCCCTTGTTTCTGTCGGACCTATCGTTGCTCTTGTTCCTATCGGTGATCACCAGCGTCGTCGTCCTCTCCCGTCGTCCCCTATCGTCGCTGTCGTCCACCATCGTCGCCATCATTCATCACCAGTTCCGGACCTCATGGGACACAGGGGATGCCCAGTATCGTTCCTCTCGGCACACACCAGGACGTGGATCACGATGACCCGCAAAGGCGACTACTACGCTCCCCGCCGTCTAAATAGATGCGGCTGGTCTCTGTGTGTGTGGTTCCATGCTGATGACATGTATCAGGTGCGATTCGCAAGCAAATCTTGAGCGAGTCACGGCAACACGGAGAGAAGTCAACTGCGCAGTATCGATTTGATTCAACAACCACCATCCCAGATGGCCGTGGCGCGGCATCCCATTGTGACCACTCCTAATAGTACTGCCTGTTTGTCATGACCAGGAGTAATTAAGCAACGAAAATGCAAGTGACATGTGAAAAAAGTGCAGCTTTTCCCCCCATCCCCTTCCTGACAGCGCCTTTCTTTTTGAAAATGATTCCCACGACGTGGCCCGACTACCTTAGTCCGACTCCTCATCACTGGTAGCCTCTATGTTGGCCTTGCTAGACTTGGACTTCTTCTCCTTGGACACGGCCTTGGAAGAATCCTCGGCGTCCGGGGCGGCGCCGTCCTCGGCAGCACCGCCGACATCGTGGCCCATGGCGCGCAGCTTCGCGTTGATGGCGGGGACGGCCTTGAGGAGGGCCTCGTACTGCGGGATCGACAGGGAGATACCCTTCTTTCCGGGCAGCATGTTGCCGTCCTTTTCGTAGAACTCGCGGATGTTGATGAGAGTTGCCTTGTTGAATTGGGAGACACCCACGCGGCGCTTGCCGGAGAGCTTTAAGAGGGGTGTGTTAGTGGTGGTGGTTTGGTCTCAACATGTCATTTCCCCAGTAGGCGAACACTTACATCCCAGTACGGGTCTCCGTTGTTGTCTTTGCCGCTGCCGAGGTCTTCGGACTTGGAGGTCTTGGTCTTCTTGACGGGCTTGTCGTCGTCAGAGTCGCTGGGCGCGTCGCGCTTTGCGCTGCGTTTGGAACCCTTGGTGAAAGGCATGGCTGAGTCGCATATGACGGTTTGGGGTAATGGAATGAGTGTGCGTCTTGGTTTTGAGGGCAGGCTGATTGGCGCGAAAATCGCAAAGGAGAGTGGATTGCGACAACACCGAAGAATTGGATGAGATTGACGCTGTGAATGAGACGGCAGTCACGACAGACGCGTTGCTAAAGTGGTTCCGGCGCGACTTCCGCGCATGACGTCGGGCCCCCCACGCACGCCAGCACGTGAGCGGCTTGTCTTATCTGAGATATCGATACCCGGACATTAGGCAGGTATCCACTTGCTTGGCTTCCGGGATCGAGGCCGAAGAAATGTCACAACGAGCCAGCCCGGCGCCGCTGTGCGACCTTGATTTTGATGTGGCTCCTTGGAAAGACGCGATGGGACTGTGGAAGACCGGGATGGATGCACCAACATCACATGGGAAATGATTCAATGTGACCCTACGCGCGCAGCTGCATGCATACCTAGCATTTCAGTGATACCAATGAGAAAAAAAGTAATCGAGAAAATTTTGAAATTATTGTCCATCTCATTGTGTTGTTGGAGCTGCAGACTGGCTGCAAGGGACGCCCGTCTAATCGTCTCACGTCCAGCGCCCACGAGACGGCCCCTGACCCAGAGTCGTCTTGAGATTTGTTTCAACCCCAAATTCCGTGGTGCAACTGCGCCGCCTTCTGTTCCCCAGTATTCTCTCCTATTTTCTGTAGTGCTTTCCGGGGAAGAATGGGCTACACAGCATGCTTTTTGCCTGTGCTCGGATAGCCGGTAGCATCCCCTTTCTTGCTTGCCCCATCCCTTGACTGATCATAGCCGGATTCAATCTAGAGGTGGAATCAGAGTGGAAAGACCAGCAAGACACCGCCCAGCGGAAGAAACCCACGATTCCCAACGTACGGGGATTTTTTCTTGCCGGGAGCCGCAGGGGGTGCTGGCACGTCACTAAAATTAGGAGCTTCTGGACCTCCCTCCAGACTGATGGACAGTGGACACACGAGCCAATGTGCCTGTTCTGGTTGGTGCTAATCTGCCCCCAACTCCACTGGCGCAGCTGGCCCTCGTTGACGACGGCAGACTCGACGTCAACACATTTCCCCAATCCCATTTTCGCGCTTAGGCCCCCCCTAAAACGAGATCTGATTCTTGTGGAAGCAACCGTCCACGCCTCGCTTTCCCTCTCGAAACACTGCCACGAAACCCGTACCTACCTGTGCTTGCACTGGTGGCTGACTTGCAGAAAAAAGAACACGGCCAACCTGTCCTTTTTTGAGCTTGCACTTACAGCTCTTTCGTCCGTACCATCGAATCGAACCACTGCAAGCTTGTCAATTTGTTTTTATTTTTTTCCTTATACCGCCAAGCAGCTCACCACCACCACTCCCGCCTGGCTGCTCGACTCGTTCAATGCACGCTTTGCCCTTTGACTCCAGCATCAGGGATGTGAGAGGATAGGGCCTTAGACGAATTCAATAGATCGACGAACTAAGCAAAACATGGACTCGACACCCGCCGCCGAAGTGCATCCACCCGGCGGAGCTCCCGTTGCTGAGAAGGGACAGTCCGCTCCCGAGACAACCTCACCGACCCTCCCTGTGATCGAGAAGCCCGCGATGCAAGAACCCACCGCCGAAGAGAAGCCCACGATCCCCGCCGAGCCATCTGCAACGAGTGCGCCGGTACCGAGCGCAGCGAACCCGCCCAAGCCGGAGGACGACGACGATGCGGTGACTAAGGTGCTCCGGTTCCTGTCGACTGCGACACCAGAAACACTTGGCGCCATTGCGGTTGGGCTTGCGGCTTCCACCTACTTTGTCCTCGGCAGGGCTGGACTCGTGCTCATTGGCGCATTCGGCGGCGTCGTCACATTCATTGCATACGAGGCGCGCCATCCAGAAGTCTCCCGGGCTGTCCGGGGTGAGAAGGGCCTCGATGTCTTGGAACGACTGTCCATCACGAGGGTCGCTGTGCCGCCCAGTGACGATGCGGAAGAGGAAGAGAAACAGATCCAAGGCTTCGACGACTTCCAGCCTGAGACGCGCGAGGCATTGACCGGTCTGGTGGACGCCGTCATTCGCGACTACGTCAAGTGGTGGTACTCGCCCATCCTGCCATCCGATCGCTCGTTCCCGCTGTCCTGCCGGAAGCTCCTCAACTCCTTCCTTCTCCGCGTTTCAAACCAGCTATACCGCAAGCGACCCGCCGACTCGTTCCTCGATTTCATGACGAACGCTTCGTCCATGTTCATTGTGTTCCTGTCCGAGCTGTCCTCCGCCTTTACCGAACAACACAACGCTCCCGGCGCATCCGCTGCGGACGTTGTCTCCAAGTACCTCGAAGAGAACCCAAACTCCAACCTGGCCAACCTCATGAACCACCCGCAGCAAGCCGCCAAGTTCCGCAATGTGGCAGACGACTTGCTCGGGTACCTTGATCGCTCAGCCTACAACTGCGACCCTGCGCGGGTGTTCCTGCGAGAAATTCTGGCCGGCGTGATACTGGAGATGACTCTGCAGTCGTGCTCAAAGCCGGAGTGGATCAACGGCTGGATCGTCTACCTGCTAGAGGCCGGCGAGCCCGACTTCAGCCAGGCCATTGATGTAGGCATGAAGACGGGGCCTGATGCCGCCGCAGACGCCGCAACGGCTGCAGCCAACAACGCCTTTGTTGACATTGACGGAAACCTCGGCAACATTGCACTGACCAAGGGAAACCGGAGCTCCCTGGATATGGAACGCGCGCGCCAGAAGGGGTCTACGGCGCATAAGAAGCAACTAAGCAAGGCCGATGAAGAGATGGAAGAAGCCATGGAGGAAATGAAGCGCATGAACGCCCTGATCGCGGAGGAGGAGTCCAAAAGAAAGTCCCGCCAGAGCATCGGAGCAGACCCGTCAGTGCAAATCCCCGAGGGCAAGATTGTTTCCTCACCAGGGGAACTGTCTCCTAGATCACAGTCTTCGGCAGAGAAGCCTTCAACACACACATCTAACGCTTCCCACGGATCAGCCAAGGACGGTAGCCTGCACTCGCCCATCACGCCAAAGTCGAGTGTGGAGGAGCCAAGCAGGAACCCGTCGCCGAAACACGCCGCCAATGGAAGTGTATCATCTCAGTTCACCAGCTTCGACCAGATCGTGCCTCCCGGGAGGGAGGATCCGGATTCATCTGATGAAGGCCCTCGCAAGCCTTCCTTGACGCTGCACAATGCCACCGTCATCCTCCATGACGACACCGACAATGAAAAAGCTCGGATCCGAACGAAGCCTACTTGGGACTATCTCGTCCAGATCGAGCCATCATCGCACCACTATTCTGGCTGGATGATTGTCAGGCGCTACTCTGATTTCGAGACTTTGCACGAGATCTTGAGGCGGATCGCCACAATTTCTGGCGCGACGGCTTTCACGGAGCAGCATGCGGAGCTTCCCAACTGGAAGTCCCATACCAGAGCATCCCTGCGTGGCGAGTTGGAGCGATATGTGAAGGATGCTTGTTGGTACCAGTCACTCGCCGAGAGCGAAGGAATGAAGCGCTTCCTGGAGAAGGACAATGGCCTCGGCCATGGGCACAGCAACTCCAAGTCAGGTCTGGCATGGGACACTGTCGGCAAGAACATGCTGGATGTTCTGACGATGGGCCCCAAGGGTGTTGCTGAGGGAGGAAAGGCTGTTTTTGGTGGTGTGACGGGTGTGTTCAGCAACATCGGATTAGGCGCAAGAAAGAACACGGCTTCGTCATTGTCGGAGATTCAGACGAGCCAGATCCAGACGAACAACCGTTGGTCGACCGGCACTCCACCCAGGATGGACAGCACCACCAGCCTGAACGCAGCTCTCACTTCGCCCATAGGCAATGGACCTCGGAAGCCTCGGGACAGTCTGGACAGTCAAAGATCGTCGATTGTCTCAACTCAGCCCGGCAAGGTCGCCCCTATGGAAAGGAGACCCAGCTTCGACCCTCGAGGTGATTCAGAGGCGGACAGCTTGAAGCCTCGATCTGACCGATGGGAGCGGAACACGCCGAGCGCCACGGGTAGTCGCGAACATAGTAGAGCTTCTAGCCTAGCGCCGCTGCAATCTCCTCCTCTGCGATCGCCGTCGTCGACGAGTCTAGATGTTATGCACATCCAGCATCTCCCACCACCCCCTGACGAGATGCCAGAGGACTGGGAGTCGCCCACTCACGGTGACATGCAGTCGAGGATGAACGAGGCAAGCCAGCCGCGCAACAGCACCGGTGCTGCCTCGCCAGGAACCAAGAAGGAGCCAAAACCTGCGCGACAGCATTCTCCGCTGTCAGAGCAGGAAACAAACGTAGCAGTAGAGCTGGTCTTCGCCATTATCAATGAGATGTACACGCTCTCATCGGCCTGGAACATTCGCCGAACACTGCTGGCCGCCGCCAAGTCCTTCCTCCTCCGCCCTGGCAACCCTTCCCTGATTTCCATCCAGCAGATGATGCAGGAGTCGGTCATTGACGCCAACACAAGCGACGCGGGGCTGGCCTACCACCTGCGCACACTGCGGGAGAACACGATGCCGACAGACGAAGAACGAGCGGCTTGGCCCGCCGAGATGACGGACGAAGAGAAGGAGAAGCTGCGCATCAAGGCACGCAACCTACTGATTAGACGGGGTGTTCCGGCTGCTTTGTCGGGCGTCATGGGACAGGCTGCCACGACGGACGCGCTCGGGCGCATCTTCGACAGCCTCCAGGTCGAGGAAGTCGCGCGCGGGTTTATCTTCGGCATGATGCTTCAGGCTGTCAGGGTCGTTACCCATTAATTTATTGCCGTCGCGGTGGCGGTGTGTTGCGCCGGGCGCGGGAGGATAGGAAGCATTTGAAATGTACCAACAACAAAACAGCACGGAAGCGAGCAGCGACTCAGACGGCACGTGTAAGATTAGACGACCATTCAAAGAAATATGATGGGAAACGAAACCGGATGCTGGGCAAACCTGGCAGGATTGGGGACGAGAACAAGACTACATATATACATATACTTAATAATTGACAGACATATCACAAGGACATGAACTGCTGTGGTTGATTTGCGATGGAACATGGCGACACTATTGAAGCTCGACTGCCTATTTTACATACAGATCCAGCCAGCCACTGTGCTGCTTCGCACCACGATGAAGATTTCCCTCCCTGCTGCACCAACACAGTTGTGCGTTCAGACGAACCAACTCTCAAGATCGAATGACATTCCGTCCCTCACCTAGTGGAGCTCCACGACTTTTAAGGTCTTGGGTTGCCTTAATAACGCCGTTATTAGTGGATGAAGACAGGACCCTCCTCATGGAAACGATGGCGTAGGGCGGGGTAGTTCGCGCTAGAGGTGGGGTGCGGAGCTCAATGAGGGAGCTATTGGTTCTTATCTTATCACTCCCTCAAACGCCCTCCTGCTCGCCGTCTCGGCCGATGATACCATCATTTGTCATCGAACAGCTCCTCTCTTGTTCATTACCGTCTTCTCGGTTTTGAATGAGTTGTCGTTTCCGCAGTGACTCTTCGCTGGCTCTGGTGCTCAATTGGACATAAAGAACAAAAGACATCGAATGAGCTAACATCAGAACCTCGACCTCCCCCCCAATACTGATTAACACGGGAACCCCGCATCGAATACATCACGACATCACATCCAACCCACCTCAGCAACGATGGCGGCAGCCGAAGCAGCGACACAATCCCAGCCGGACCGCGGCATCCGCATCGCTATCGACCGCGGCGGCACCTTCACCGACTGCGTCGGCGAGCTCGCGGGCCGCGAGACCATCATCAAGCTGCTCTCCGAGGACCCGTCCAACTACGACGACGCGCCGCTCGAGGGCATCCGGCGTATCATGTCGCACTTCCTGGGCCGCGAGATCCCGCGCGGCGAGCCGCTCGACACAGCCAAGATCGACTCGATCCGCATGGGCACGACGGTCGCGACGAACGCGCTGCTGGAGCGCAAGGGCGAGAAGATCGCGCTGGTCGTCACGGAAGGGTTCAGGGACTGTCTGGCGATCGGGAACCAGAGCCGGCCCAAGATTTTCGACCTGGCGATCCGGAAGCCGGATGTGTTGTACGAGACGGTCGTGGAGGTGGAGGAGCGGGTGACGTTGGAGGACTATGCGGAGGATCCGGCGAGGACGGTGACGGAGGTTGAGGTGAAGGCGGGGACGAAGGAGGCGGCGACGGCGGAGGTGGTGAGGGGGACGAGCGGGGAGGCTGTGAGGATATTGAGGAGGCCTGAGGAGGAGAGGTTGAGGAAGCAGTTGCAGGAGGTGTACGACCAAGGGATCCGCAGCGTGGCGGTTTGCTTGATGCATGGGTATACGTTTCCCGACCACGAGGCAATGGTGGGGAGGATCGCGAGGGAGATTGGGTTCAAGCACATCTCGCTCAGCCACGAGTTGATGCCCATGATCAAGTTGGTCTCACGGGCTACGTCGGTCTGTGCTGACGCGTACCTCACACCGGCGATAAAGAAATACATTTCCGGCTTCCAGGCTGGCTTCGAGGGTGGTTTGGGAACGAGGAGTGTGCAGAAAGAGGAGGGGGCGAGAGGTGCGAGATGTGAGTTCATGCAGAGTGACGGCGGCCTGGTGGACGTGGAGAACTTCACTGGACTCAAGGCCATTTTGTCCGGACCGGCAGGCGGTGTGGTCGGGTATGCGATTACGTCGTACGACCAAGAGACCAAGGTTCCTGTGATTGGGTTCGATATGGGCGGTACCAGCACGGATGTATCGAGATTTGGCGAGGGCAGGTATGAGCACGTCTTCGAAACAACCACCGCTGGAGTCACCATCCAGTCGCCGCAACTGGACATCAACACTGTAGCGGCGGGAGGCGGCTCGATGCTGTTCTGGAAGAACGGTTTGTTTGTCGTCGGACCGGAATCAGCCGGAGCGCATCCAGGCCCGGCATGTTATCGTAAGGGAGGCCCGGCGACCGTCACCGACGCAAACCTCTACCTGGGCCGCCTGCTGCCCGAGTTCTTCCCCAAGATCTTTGGCGAAAACGAGGACCAGGGGCTCGACCCTGAGGCCAGCAAGAAGGTCCTCCAAGAGCTGGCGGACCAGGTGAACAAGGAGACCGGCAAGAACATGAGCGTCGACGAGGTGGCGTACGGGTTCCTGACCGTGGCCAACGAGACCATGACACGCCCAATCCGGTCCATCACGGAAGCCAAGGGGCATGACTCCTCCAAGCACAGGCTAGCGACCTTTGGCGGCGCCGGCGGGCAGCACGCCGTCGCCATCGCCGAGGCGCTGGGCATCAAGCAAATCCTCATCCACCGCTACTCGTCCGTGCTGTCGGCGTACGGGATGGCCCTGGCGGATGTCGTCGACGAGAGGCAGGAGCCCGACTCCAAGGTGTGGGAGTTCCCCGGCAAGGCAGCCGACGAGCTAAAGAGCAAGATGGAAAAGCTTCAGGAGAAGTCGCGCGAGGCGCTCAAGGCGCAGGGCTTCGAAGACAAGGAAATTGTGTTTGAGGAGTACCTCAACATGAGGTACCGCGGTACGGAGTCTGCGCTGATGATTATTAAGCCCGAGGGCGGCAAGGACGGCGACGAGTGGGACTTTGGCACGGCGTTCGTCCGACAGCACCGCTACGAGTTTGGGTTCACCTTGGATGAACGCGACATCATCGTCGACGACGTGCGTGTGAGGGGCATCGGCAAGAGCTTCCGGCATTCCGAGAAGACTGTGGATCAGCAGTTGAAGGTGCTTGAGCGAAAGGATGTCGAGGTCAGCAAGGCGCTGGACCGGCAAAAGGTGTATTTCGAGGAGGGACGGCTGGATACGCCTGTCTACAAGCTCGAGGATCTCAGTACAGGCAAGACTATCAAGGGGCCTGCCATGCTGGCGGACGGAACACAAACGATTGTAGTGACGCCGAAAGCTACGGCTCTGATCCTCGATACACATATTGTTATTGATATTGAGAAGGAAGGCTCAAAGGATGATGGGTAAGTGTCTCTTTTCTTTCCCCTCCGATCCCCTGACGGCAAAGAAAAAAAAGGGATGCCGAAGCTGACGGCAGGAATAGAGCTGCTAAGAAGGACGACGAACGAGACGTCGACCCTATTATGCTAAGTATCTTTGGCCATCGTTTCATGGCCATCGCGGAGCAAATGGGACGTGCCCTCCAAAAGACCAGTGTCAGCACAAACGTCAAGGAACGCCTCGACTTCTCCTGTGCCATTTTTGACGCAAGCGGAGGACTCGTGGCTAACGCGCCGCATCTTCCCGTTCATCTCGGCTCCATGTCAACCTGCGTGAAGCGCCAAGCCGAGATCTGGAAGGGTGACCTAAAAAAGGGGGACGTCATCATCTCTAACCACCCATCCTACGGTGGCACCCACTTGCCAGACATCACGCTCGTGATGCCTGCTTTCAACGAGAAGGGCGACAAAATCCTGTTCTACGCTGCTTCCAGGGCTCATCACGCCGACATTGGGGGTATCACGGCCGGTAGCATGCCGCCGCATTCTAAAGAGCTCTACCAGGAAGGTGCGGCGATCAAGAGCGAAAAGCTAGTCAGCGAAGGCCGCTTCGACGAGAAGCGCGTCACGGAGCTGCTGTACAACGAGCCCGCTCAGTACCCCGGCTGCAGCGGTACGCGCTGCTTGGCGGATAACATCAACGACCTCAGGGCGCAGGTCTCGGCTAATCAGAAGGGCATCGCTCTCATCGAGCGACTCATTGAGGAGTACGGCGAGGAGACGGTGCAGTTTTACATGGTTAACATCCAGAACAACGCTGAGCTCTGCGTGAGAACGCTGTTGAAGCAGGTCAGCAAGCGCTTCGAGGGGCGCGATCTGCAGGCTGTCGACTTTATGGATGACGGCAGCCCCATAAGGCTCAAGGTCACGATTGATGCGGATAAGGGCGAGGCGGTGTTTGATTTTGAGGGGACCGGGCCAGAGGTGTACGGAAACGTGAACGCCCCTGAGGCCGTGACATACAGCGCCATCATCTACTGCCTCAGATGCCTCATCTCGGAGGACATTCCCCTGAACCAGGGATGTTTGAAGCCGATTAACGTCAAGATACCGCCCAAGTCGCTTCTCTCGCCTTCGGACGGGGCTGCAGTGGTGGGAGGGAATGTGCTCACGAGCCAGCGCGTCACAGATGTCATTTTCAAGGCCTTCCAGGCCTGTGCTGCCAGCCAGGGCGACTGCAACAATCTCACGTTTGGTTTTGGAGGAAACCTGACGGGCCAGAAGGAGGTCAAGGGCTTCGGGTACTATGAGACTATCGCGGGTGGAAGCGGCGCCGGGCCCACGTGGGAGGGCACGAGCGGAGTGCATACACACATGACAAACACGCGTATCACGGATTCGGAGGTGTTTGAGAGGAGATATCCCGTTATTTTGAGGGAATTTTCACTGAGGAAGGGTAGTGGTGGAGACGGGCAGCATCGCGGAGGTGACGGCGTTATTAGGGACATTGAGTTCCGCATCCCGGTGCAGGTGTCTATCCTAAGTGAACGGAGGGTCTACCGGCCGTACGGTCTTGCGGGCGGAGAGGACGGTGAAGCGGGATTGAACGTGTGGGTTAGGAAGGTCGAGAAGGGCAGCTGGGAGAAGAGTCTCAAGAGGCTGAAGGGGGCTGGCCAGCAGGACCAGGAGGAGGTGGAGTATGAGGAGAGAAGGTTCAATCTGGGCGCCAAGAATAGCGCGCCCATGAAGCCCGGGGAAAGGATCATTGTGAATACTCCTGGCGGTGGTGGATGGGGCAAGGTCGGGGAGGCTAAAGGAGTCAAGGCAGGAAGGGATCATACA